CAGAGGGGGTGTATTATTGACAAAGAATACCCCATATATATTCTTCCGACGCGTTGACTCTGAGACTCGAACCCTTGACCATCATAGCTCTCAACCGCACTGGAAGCGCCTAAACGGGCTCGACTAGGGGAGGCTACTTAATTTTTTTGAGCAGATGTCTCTTATAACGAAAATACATTAAACAGATACTTATCTTATTTTGGTAAGTCATCAAACAATTTTTCAGATGTTTATTACTACAAGGAGTATAATATCGTATACTTTTATGAATATTAATGATATCAATTAATAATTTTAATAATAATAATTTAATAATAATATTATATGGCTCATTTAATTTAAATTGTCATATTCAGCTTCCAGAAAAGTTGAGTTGGAAAATTTGGATTTTAAGGTTAAAACTAACTTTTTTATACAGTTTAACATGTTAAATTAACAAAATAAATAGTGGTCACAAAATTAATGTCATATATTTCTTATGGCAGACGGTTTTTTAACAGAAATCGTCATATCTTATAAAAAATTTTTTCTGTCAATTTTTGATAAAATAATAATACTAAATATAATTTGATTTGACTGGTGATAAATATACTGAAGTTTTAGGGCTCGCTGAATTCGAATTTGATGACAGATGAACCCAAAAATCTTAAATACGATGAAATCAAATTTTTTTGAAAGCTCTGTTTGGAACCTTATTAGGCCTATAAGTGATTTTTAACTAGACTGCGAAGAGGTTAAAAATTATAAAGGCAAAATGCAAAATTTATGTCCTTAAACATTATGAACATAAAACAAATAAACATCTATTCATTTCGGCAAAAGATTTAAAATAAAAATTTGTTGGGGGTGGGTTATAACCCCATTTTATGGAAAAAATTAGGGGGGTGGGTTGCGTGTACGGGTCATGTAGTACACGATTTATGCTATAATTTAAAACAATTTTGAAGTTTTTACCACTTCAGGTTAAAGAGGAAAATCATATTAAACACCCATAAAAACATGTTTCTTGGGGGTTTTTACCCCCACTTTTTTCAAAATCCTGACATGCTAAGCAATTTTAAGATCCGGGATCGTGTTCAGCGCCCAAAAATAAATTAGAAACTATTCTGATATCAAGATAAAAGAAAAAAGTTTTATTTTGTTGGCCTCTGTGATTTATTACGTTTACTGAAGCCATATATACAAATTTGCATTACACTTATGACCATTACACTGTTGACATTTTGCTCGTTTTTCGCTTATAAAATGAAAACGGTTATACTTATATCGACGGGGTTGGTCTCATTCGAAAGAGAATCCAAAAATACATTAAATTCCATACCGATATAAAATTCAAAATATTTTCTAAACATTTTCAAGGCGTTACACTGTTGACAGAAATTCAATTACGAAAGTGTTTCGGCTTTTTCTGCCTCCATGACAAACGAGCAGATTTATACTTATATCGTTTTTTTCACACACTTCGTTGTTGTGTTCTGCTGCTTATGCGATGGTAAAGAAATTTTTTTGCTCATAAGGTAATTTAAATAGCAGGTAAAAGTAGGAAATTCTGCCGTCAAAACATAAAAATACAAAAGTAAGGGACAAGTCATTTTCATTTTCTGGAAATTGTATAAAATAAAGTTTAATTACCTACACTTGATTTTCCTTAAATATAGAACTAATACTTCACGAAACATTTTTTTAAATTGGTTTAAACACTATATTTTCGACATTTCATTTATTTAAACCTTGAAAATGTCTCCGGGGACGCATTACACTTATGACATTTTGCCTGCTTTTTGTTCTGTCAATATTATGAAAATCACTTTTATGTCCTTGTAAGTATAAAAATTATTGAAAATTATTGCTTTTTACTATATAAACAAATTAATTTCAACTAAGGTTATATCAAATAATTTTTTTGGCAAGGGACACGAATATGTCAATTTAAATGAAATGAGTCATATAATATTATTATATGTGACCTGGACAATTAAAAGGACCTTATGTCCGAAAAAATCGATTTTCACTTTTTTGTTGATTCTCATAGAAAAAGATGTGTTCTTTTCAATGCAACAAACCTCGCATCTCCAGCTGCATTAGTCCGTTTTCGAATTGGGATTTTTAGCGTACTTTTGATAAAGTGTATACTCGGGAAGTATGCAGTGTCCTTTCTTTCGCACGGAAAAACAAGAATACTGCATACTTCCCGAGTATACACTTTATCAGAAATTTGAATTCAAAATAGCAGATCCAATATGGCGGATGACAAAATTAAAAATTAGTTAAATTTGCTTAAAACTTCTTAATCGTGGGGTTTTCGAGGTCGCTGATTACGAATTTGACATCAGATTTTTAAACGAGTTTTAATCAAATCCGATCAATTTTGCTTCCTCGTGGAGGAAGCTTTGTAGTCCTTTCGTTTGTAAAAATTTTGAGTGTAGGAAACAAATTTTTCTCTATATAGAAACATGTTATATCAGATCCTGATCAATTGTCCGGATGCATGTGTGTGTGTGTGTGTGTGTAGGAGAGGATCCCTTTTTTGTTTAGAAGATAACTTTAACAGGTTTTAATGGATTTAGATAAAATTTGTCAATATAAAATCTGAATAAAGGATTTTAAAAAATACCCAAAAAAAAAATTTTATCGTCTTTTTTCCAAAAATTTTTTTTTTAATCGAAAAAATTTTTAAATAGAAAAATTTAAGGTTATATATATCATAAAATCGTATTCCTTACATCAAGACAAATCGATCAGTATATATAAAGTATAGTTTTAATTTAAATTTAAAGAATTAATGAAAGTTAAAAAATCAAAATTTCACATTTTGGTTATAAAATTTTGTGATTATTTAAATTTAAGTTTATAGATGAAATAATTGTATTCCTCACATGAAAACGAATCGATTGGTATATATAAAATTTACATTTGAGGTAAATTTAATAAATTAATGAAAGTTAAAAAATAGAAAATACACATTTTAGCTGAAAAATTTTATATTTATTTAAATTAAAGTTTAAATATAAAATAATTGTGTTCCTTGCATTAAAACGAATCGATATAATTGTAAATAATTATAAATTATATATTATTTTTCATTAATATTTAGAAATTTCGGTTAAAATATGAATTTTTGATTTTTTAACTTCTATTAATTCTTTAAATTTTACTCAAATGTATAGGTACTCTAATGTTTATATTATTATATTATTTTTGTATGTTTATTTCAATGTTAATGCTTTCTCCACGAGGAAGCAAATTTTTTTGCTGATCGTAAAGAGGAAGCAAAATGTTCATGTAATGAACATCTGAATTTACAACTTGTTTAAATTTGTTCCGCCATATTGGATCTGCCATTTTGAATTTTTGAAATCTGATGGCAAATTCATAATCAACGACCTGAAAAACCCCTGAGTAACAAATTTCAAGCAAATCCAACTAATTTTTATTTTTGTCATCCGCCATTTTGAATTTTAAAAATCTGATGCCAGATTCGTGATCAGCAACCTGAAAAACCCTCAAGTGACAAGTTTCATTGAAATTTGTTAAACTTACAATATGTTTGGAGCTAATCCATATGATTCTTTTATTTTTCGGGTGCCATATTGGATTCGCCATTTTGAATTTTGAAAATCAGATGGCAGATTCGTAATCAGCGACCCCATAAACCCTTGAGTAAAAAGTTACAAGCCATTTCAACGTGCAGGAGCATCATTTTCGATTTGATAACTTGGAAGTCGATTATCTCGAAAACTTGATTTCGGACGTAAGGTCCCTTTTAACTGTCCAAGTCACATATAATTATAATGTAATAATATAATAATAATAATAATAATAATAGTAATAATAATTTTAATAATTATTTTATATTTGGAGTTTATTAACTTCGACATTTTTATTTAGAATGATATGAATTTTAATTTTAACCAATTGAACTTTGTATACATTCCAATTTTTTCGAAAATAAATTAAATAAAAATGTTGATATAGCAAATTTATTTTAACAAACTATTATAATTTATATAATGCTAATACTTAAATTATAACTCATTTTGAACAGAATTTTCTTATATGTAAATAATGTGATCTAAAATAAATTAATATATAACTCCAATTAAAAAATTATTTTTTTTAAACAAAAAAATCAGATACATTAACATTAATCTCAAGTTTTTAAAAGTTCCAAACAAAGTTATCAAGCAACAAAAATTTAAGAAATTTCACAATTTAATTATTATTATTAAACACTATAATATTTTAGTAATATGTTTATTAATTCTGTATCCCATTCATTATTTGTTGAACAAGTAGGGGGTCCTTGAAAATCTAGTCATTTATGTTTTGATCAAATTTTAATATTCAATATTATGACTTTATATTAGTTTTTTGTTAAATAAATAATCATATTTTAGAAAAGGTGCATTTTTTGGAAATTCTCTTGGGTGAAGTTATAATTAATATATTTAGGCAGAAAATATGCCTCAGTAAACAAAAATTGCATCATTTTAAAAAAAAATTTGAAATACAGGTAAAATGCCTTTTTCACTAAGTGAAAAAATAAGATGATCGTATTAGGCTGTAACTAGCACATACTTTCTAAATTTGAATCAATCATATTTCACTGATTAGCAGTAGAAATCTACTAATTGCTAATTCACTTTACGCACCGAAATTTTTCTCACATACTATAAGGATTATTTTAGGCTATACAAAAGAGAACTTTACTTTTAAATTTATACACTACTGCCTAATGATATTTTTCCTGATCTTCGATTGATTTATTTAATTCAATACAATCGATCTCTCTAATACAGAGTTGTCATTGGCTTAACTTTTTTCACTGACGGTTTCACGCTACGCATGGAGCTGATTGTTGATTGGTCAATAATTTTATAGAGATATTATCAGCCAATGAAAAACTATTATGTGGACTTTTCTAGAAAAGCTAGTTACCTATCTTTCTACTGAGCGTTCATAGTTTATGTTTTGTATTGAAGTACACAATGTATTGACAGGTAATTTGTGTAAAGAGTTTAATTAAAAATAATGGACATGAGTGCCGATGATTCCGATACTATAGAATGTTTATGATACTATAGAATAGTTCTAATGGCATATTTTTCTCATCTGTCAAACAGAATGAAAATAAAAGCTTCAACCCTTTGGTCCATTTATTCAATGTTAAAGTCATCATTGAAAAGTAAAAATGATATTAATATTGAAAATTATTCTAAATTGACTGTATTTTTAAAAAATCAGTCTAAAGGATATAGGCTAAAAAAATCTAAAATTTTATCTAATGATGAAATTGAAAAATTTATTAATGAGGCCCCTGATCAAGAGTATTTAGCAAAAAAGGTATAGATATACAAAATAATAAAAAATTATCTGCCATCTATAGTCTTCTATACTTTATAGGTTATGTCATTATTTTTTAAATTACTATTTACAGGCAGCTTTAATAATGGGAATATGTGGCGCATGTAGGCGTAAAGAGCTTTATAACTTGAAAATAGATGACATTAAGGACACCGTCTCTTTTTTTAAATCAATATTTCAGAAACAAAAAATGGCTCTCAACGGTCTTTTAATGTCATGGGAGATTTTTATCAAGTTGTTAAAAGATATCTTGCTTTACGTTTAAATAACATTGATATTAAAAGTTTCTTTTTAAAATACACTGAAAGAAATATTGTAACAATATTTAATATTTTGAGATTAATATTTGCTAAAATTAGTTACAAGCCATGGAAATGAAACCATGGTGGGAATTATTATTTTCATTTTTAAGAAATATTGAAATAAAAATAGTATTTTATAATATAAGTTGAAAATAAAAATTAGTAAAGTAATTTGAAAATTTAAAATGCTACTATAACAAACTCAAATGTCAATTTATATTAAAATTTTTAGAAATATTCTTATAAAGTATTTAATATTTGGTAGTAAAATTGCGTTAAGTGATACAATAATTTCAAACTTTGATATAGTCTACACGAAAAATCAGGAAAAACATATATTCTAACTTTCTATTTTACAAAGTGTTAAAGTAATATCAAAATTTTCCCAAGAGCTGTGCGATGCTGTCCGATGACAACCGAGCGAGTCCGACTGGATTTGACCGATTGTTGACGAACAGTGACGATCAGGTGACGATGTTTGTTTGGCGATAATCTCGGTCTTCATTCAATTTTTGGCATTCTTGAAAGCTTTCGGGCTAAAAAATGTTGTCGATTTTGTTTAACTGATTCAGAAAATATTAATCTAGTTTTCCAAGAAAGCGATTGCATTCTACGTAACGTTAAAAATTATGAATCGGCTTTTAATCAAAATGATCTATCTGCAGCAGGAATTAAGGAGCGTTGTGTTTTTAATAAAATACAGAATACAGGGATTTCACGTTACCTCAAATCCTACAGTAGACGTGATGCATGACTTTTTCGAGGGCATTTGCCGGTATGATCTGGCACAAATATTATACCAATTTACTTATGTTCGACAATACTTTTCTCTAGAGTTTTTGAACACCATGTTGCGATGTTTCCATTACGGTCCTAATGTAAATAAACCTCCAGAAATTTTAGAAACACATATAAAGAAATCTAAATTCATAATTTTGTCTTCATCTGAAATGATGAATCTGATAAGAAATTTAAATTTGATGATTGGTTTTCAAGTTGATGAAGACGACAAACACTGTCAACTATTATTAAATTTAAAAGATATCGCAGAAATACTAGTTAGTACTAAAATTTCAAGCTCAACTCCTAAAATATTAGAATGTAAAGTTGTTGAATATTTAAAACGGTTAGTTACTTTATTCCCTAAAAGTTTGAAACCTAAACACCATTTTCTAATACATTATCCTGCGATAATGAAACAAATTGTCCCTCTTTGGAATGTTAGCTGTATGAGGTTCGAAGAAAAGCATAGGGAAAGTAAAAGAGCTTCACATGCATCAATTTGCCGAATTAACGTATGTAGAACAATTGCTCTTTGCCACCAACTTATTTTAAATTATCGATTTCTGAGTAAAAAGTCCAGCCATCCTATGTTTATTTCTGGTAGAAGTAAAACTGTTAGTCTTCAAAATTTACCAGACATTTTAAATTATAACCATTTGATATTAAATGATATTAATGAAAACAATCAAATTGATGTTACGAATTGGGTTGAATACAACGGCAAAACAATAAAAAATGGCAGTATCGTTGTAACTTTCAGCGAAATAGGAGAGGAATTTTATAATGTTCATACAATTATTTTAAAAAATGAGAAAGAGTTTTTATTGATTGTTAAATCCATGGCAGATTGTTACCTGAACAAACATTTAGGGTCATATAAAGTTTATGAGAGTGATTTCTTCCACTGGGAAATTTTAAGAATTGAAGATTTGAAAAATGTCGAAATTTCGTACGCAAATAAAATGCGAGACGGAAACTTTTATATATGTAAAAATTGGTTCTAATTTAAAAATTATTGGTCCTCATTATTTTGTAAATAAATTTTAATAAATATTGTTTGTAATGAATTTAAATAATATGTGTTTAATTATTATCTGTAGTCCCAGATTCCATACCAGAGTTGCCAAGAGTCAGGGAAGTCAAGGAAATCAGGGAAAAATGTAATTATCAGGGAAATTAGGGAACAGACAGGGAATTTTGTCAAAACTACTGAAAAATATTACATTTCTAAAAATGCTACGGAAATTCTGATTTTTGAAAATATTAATTCAAATTTTCTTTCAGACATGTTTGAAAATCAGGGAAAAGTCGGGAAAAGCAAAATCAAATTTTGGTAGCAATTGTGTAAAATATTCTAAATTTTAATCAGTTAATAATTCAATTATTCCGAATAGCAATCAAATAAAAATTCAATTATTGATGCAAACACTCAGTGATAGAAATTTTAATCCGTAATCTATAAATTTAAAAATATTCACTCATAACATTTTTTGTATAAAGAATTTTTTTAAATGTTAAAATGTCATATAACATTTAAATAATGAGGTTTTTATAACTATCGGTTTCTTTAACTATTAAGAATTTTATAGAAAATTCATAATTATTTTTAATCAAAAAATTGGTCTCTAAATTGTTAATAAATATTTTTATTTTGTACTTATAAATAATAAAAAATAATATCACATATTAATCGCGTTTCTCACAAGCGCATTAAAATCTATCTTCTTAGTATATAAGAAAATTTTCTGCCTTTTACTGCAGCGTGAAACATGTATAATATAAGTGTATGCGTTGCGATATTCTGCGTTTATGCATGCGTATTTTCGTTAAGTTAGGTAGGAATATATGTTAAGTCAGTCAAAGCGAACCAAAGTGCGTGTGTAGTTGTGTGTAGAAAACCATTCCTTCTCTCCTCTACTGCAATACAGAAAAATTCACTGATTACCCAATTCTTCGCCAGATACCAAATAATGGAAATCTTTTTCTTATATTTTATAACACCGTTCTCAATTTTTCGTATACTTTTAGCAAATAACGTAATGCGCGCCTTTCATTTTCGCTTCATGTTTTTAGTATAGTTTTAACAAATAATGAAAAGCTTTTATGGTTCTTACCGATTTTTCGTATAGTTTTAGTAAATAACGTAAAATAAATGTCTTATAATACACTCTTCTTTTTTCTTATAGTTTTAGTAAAAATAAGAACTCGAATAACGATTTTCAAAATAATAATTTCAATTTTTGAAAACATTGTTTCTCCAAAGGCTTTTCGTAAAACTATATTAATTTTTAATACACAGACTCAATTTCCATGACTTGCAAAAGAATATACTAAAAATTGGTACCATTTTTAACATATATTGCAACAAACTTTCTTTCAGTGTATCAAAATGGCCAATGTAAAAGACAAATTATTGGCATCACTAAGTTTGGCTCTATGCCTAAAGAAATAGCAGAATATTTGAATTTGCCGAATCCGAAAGAGTACACAGACCACTCTTTTCGGCGAAGCTTAACAACATTGCTTGCGGATGCTGGAGCAAATCTTGTCACCTTGAAACGTCATGGTGGTTGAAAGTCATCCAGCGTCACCGAAGGATATATTGATCAATCAATTAATAACAAAAAGAAGTCAATAACCTCATAACAAAGAATATTAATATTCAATCTAAGTTCCATGAAGATACTACTAGCAACATAATTTCGATTAATTTACCTAAAAACTCGAATGATCACGCCGAATCATCCTCTTCGAGTTCAAAAGAAGTTCATCAAGTTAATACTTCAATTTCCAGTGAACAGATTAACAATTTGCCGAGTTTAGATGAAATTTCACAAAATTGTAATAAACACAGCTCAACAATCAATATAACCTCATGTTCAAATTGTACAGTAAATGTTTTCAAAAATTAATATTTTTCTGAATTTAGAAAAAAATTCTATTTATTAATTAACTTTTTATAAATATTAAAGTGTCATTTTTCAGGTAAATAATTAAGTAAATTTTAAATTTTTTGAAAAAATTTTGCTATCATTCGAAAGAGCATGAAAAAACCTTATGAAAACATATAGGTTAAATTTTTTTTCCATCTTTCTATTTAATTATAGTTATATCTTCAAAAATCCACTGTTTAAATTTTGCAAAAAAATCCAACCCTTTCCTTCACCTACAGTTTTTGAAAAAACCTAACAATACTTCGTGGTTGAAGTACTCACCCGAAGGGCTAAACTATGTGCTAGTTACAGCCTAATATGATCATTTTATTTTTTCACTTAGTACGCTACAGGAATTTTACCTCTATTTCAATTTTTTTTTAAATGATGCAATTTTTGTTTCCTGTGGCATATTTTCTGCATAAACTTATTAACTACACGGAAAAAATTTTCTGTGTCAATTCTTTTTTATTTTGAAGATCATCTAATTCTGTGTTAAATAAAACTAGTGTAAATAACATTTTTAACAAATTTAAATTATTAACAGATGATTATTGAAAATCGATGTTTCAGCACCCCACGACACAAGTTGGAGGAGGCTGTCTGCCTACTCGGCATGGTATTTTTCAATCTTTTTCTAAATAACATTTTATAATTAATTTTTGATTGTTGGTAATACTTAATATTCTTTTTTTGACACAGAATTAGATGATCTTCCAAATAAAAAAATAATTGACGATTTATCTTCATTTCTTCAAATGTTATTAATTATTTAAATAATTTTTATTATTAATTATTAATTTCACACCCGTTTATCAGAAATATTTCATATATGCCTTGTTGAATGCGGATTTCGATAAGCATTGGAATGGTATTTTTAAAATTATTCTAATTTTATTTGTTCGTAAAATATTTCATTTTTTATTAACTTTTGTTAGTTAATTAATTAATATCTCGAAAAGAATACATAATGCTATCTCAAAAATTTAACCATTCATTTATTAAGACTTAAACAATATTCATGATTTTTATCGCGCTTCAAAATGAGGGCAAATACGTTTAAAAGTTACAAACAAATTTCATTTTTTAAACAAATTGTTTAAAAATTAATATTTTTTTAAAAATATAATTTTTTTCTGAAAGTTTAAGGTCTTTTGCGTAAAAAGTATTTTGAACATTTCTCCCTATTTTTAGTAGGAAAAAAGTTATAAGTAAATTAAAAAAATATTATTCAAATTTGTTAATGTAAATATCTCGAAAAATATTAAAAATTTCAAAATCAAAATTTGTTCACTTATTTAGCACC